CAGCAACATAAGCACAACGTTGTATTCGACCACCGCGATGACTAGAGGCCTTACGGTCGGGGCAACTTTGACGCATCGCTCTACCTGTGAGTGAATCAGTTCACACAAAAACTTATTCGAATGACCCAAAAAAAACACAACACTCACTCATGAAGGGCTCGTATCGTAGACCGGTGGGCTCCCAGAACATGTAGGACATCCTACGGAATACGTTCGTGTCAGGGTCCGTCCGCTCATGCCCCGTACAGTAGTCCATCTGCTGGGGCCCGATGAGTGCAAAACTCCGCACCACGGAGATGGCAGCAGTGAAGCCACGTACTGAGCCTCCTGGCTGCCTGACAGGCTGGGTCGCACTTCCCGGAGAACCCGCAACGACCGACGAGCTGCCGCCGAGAAGTGGGGAGAAAACCAGCTTTACCTGCGACGGATGTAGTGGGAAAAACAACGGCGGGCGGGACATCAAGCGGGGCAGGAGGGAGAGTGTGGATTGCCGTCTGTGACGAATACATTTTGTAGGAATCGAACAACATCAAACAGACGACAGGTTGAGTGCGGCACGCCGCAATATTTCATGACCAAGACCCTCGTCCTCATGTCAAGGATGAAAACTGCAACTCTTGGAAATTGCTGCATGATGGGAAGTACTCGATTGACCATGTGTGAGTGACGGTTGGAAGGATTCCAATACACATCAAGGTATATGTAGGAGTCCTGGCTACGCCTCCACGTCATGGAAAATATAGTGGGAACTATGAGAGTGGTGTGTCTACGCAAGAGGGCGGACGTCGAGTTAGACCCATAACGTTAACCCCTTCTTCTATCGTCGTCCACTTTATGGGAAAGACCCAATTGTTGAACACGTGCTAAGTGTCTAAAATTAATGTTTGTAAATGACTCGTTCATCCAAAATGAAAACATATCTGTCCCACAAAAAGTGATTATTTTCTCAGGGAAGACCTATTTTACTCACGTGTTCCTCCATATGCTTCTGAAGCATGTAGATGAAGATTGGGCCTGCCGCAGCTCCGCCGAGAACCACCATAACGTGCGCCATGGCTTCAGCCGGGGTCATGGCGGACGTTATCGTGATCTCACGATCAGAAAAACCGGAGCCGGAGGCAGCATCAGCAGCGACGGGGGCAGCACCAGAACCGAAGCCGGAGGCAGCAGCAGGGCGCGAGGGTGTGATCTCGCCAAACGTACCAGAAGTCCTGCGTGAGGTGCTCACTGCTGCTGCCGCCGCCGCTCCCGCTACCAGCACCGGTAACGGGGGGCGCGGACTGGCGACGTGTGGACGGGGCAGGTACCGTCTGCGAAGACGAACCCTGCGGGGCAGCCCCCGTCGACTGCCGACAAGCACCACCGCCGGAAACAACACTCTTCGACGCCCTGGCCGACGGATCCGAGCCTGCGGAGACGTTCCTGACGGAAGACAGGTCCGCCTCAACATCATCATCGACAAAGGGCTCCTCCGCCTGGGACAGACAAAGACACAGCAACCCGACAAGGGCGGGTCAGACAAAAAAATTAGAGCAAGTTTTGCGATGTGGCTGGGCACAACGTATTGCGTCATAATGCGGCTATGACGGGAGGACGTTGAGAGGACTCGAGATTCGGGGTTAGCCGGAATGCGATCTGAAATCTTCGAAGCGTACTTGTAGTTGTTGGCTGTTCGCTCTTGCGCAACTAATATATCTCGAATGGGTACAAGTCTTTATTAATTATTCCTTTATGCTCTACTTTTTACTTTAAATTCAACGCGAGATGTTGTGCTGCCTTGAAAAAAGCAGTCGTTGGTGAAAGCTACAGGTTTCCTCATCCAGCACATCCATCGAGGCAAGAGCCCCGAACCTAGCTCAAACTCCGCAACAGCCTGTAGGAAAGTACGCATGCCCCTCTGCAGTTCATCTGCATCAAATTGGGTCCAGAGCGAACCAGACACAGGTGCATGTAAGTTCCAAATGCTGTGCTTGTAGATGGTTGGTGTTTGGAAATTATGTGCAGGCCATCATGCATACGTGCGTCATGCTCTCGACACTTCGTCCTTTCAACTGCCACGTAGAGAGGGAGTTCACGACTAAAAGGAAGAGCGGTCGCAACTGTAAAAGAAAGGACAGCCGTACCTATCGGTGCGGGTACATGACACCATAGGGACGGTCCAGCTATTTGACAAGGCCATGGAATGATGGTACGAAAACTAAAAAACAAAACAAAAAGGTAGCCGCGCATTTACGCACGTTGGGTGCTTCGTCTTCAACGGCCATCTTGGACCTGAGCTTGCGCAGGCGCCGGCCTCGGTGGTGACCGCTCACTGGTGAATCCATCAAATCCGACAATGGACCAAGATATCGCTCAGCCTCCTCAACAGACTAACCCCATGACAGGTCCCATCGGTATCGCGCGAACTTACTTGAGCCTGCGGCGGTGGCGAAGCATCCTTCTTCCCCTTTCCTTTAGACTTGGAGCGGGAGAAGCGGGTTACCCCCCCCCCTGTCCTCGCGATCCAGCCCGCCTCTATGGCATTAGGGGTAGCCCTACGGGTCGATGAACCCGACCCTCTTGACGCCATGGCGCGCGTCTGTGTGGGTGGTGGGTGGGGAGTGAGGCTTTCTGACGTGGGACAGCTTCAACCATTAGAAGGTTTCAAAAAAAAATGGCGTTATTTTGTTTTTCGTTTCGTCGCGACTTTATTTTTTCCTACGCCGCGCCCGTGCGATGTGCGTGAAACCGCGGTCTAGGCAGCAGGCAAAACACAGATAGTTGACATATGTATACATAAGTAATGGCCGGGCGCGAGGCGGAGCGGGCGCCGTCTCATAAAAAACAAGGAAGATTTGCCTGTTTCTGCGGGACGGAAGCGCGTGACACGCGGGCGTTACTTCAACACCAAGCTAGATTTCACCCCGGCGATGTCCGATGTCAGGAGGCGGGGGGTCGTACAGCAGTACCGCCGACATACCATCATGACCGTGGTAGTGCCGGTTGGGAATCGAAAGCGTCTGCTTCCCCAAGTCATGTTGACGAACCCGCTGAAGGTATGGTGATATATGCAGGATGATGGGGGCTCGCTGCAACA